ATATGGGCGTAGGAGACACACACTCGCTGTCCCGGCTGCCTGGCAGTTAGATGGGTTCATGGTGCTGCTTGCTCCACAATTTTCACGGCACCGTGCTCATGTACCTACACTGTGGTTTTCATGGCTCATTTTGTAAAGATGAAAAGATCTTCTGTGCTATATTGCACACCTTGCTCAACGTGTAATAACCAGTGCCGTTTCCAAAAGTCTGCATTCAAGAATACTCGCAGTTCAGGCAGTAGCCCTTGTTTGGAAAAGACACCTTAATTGCTCAGTGTTCATCTCAGCCTCACTTAACTGCCTTTTTCATCATCTCCTGTTCTTTAAATCATCTGAGCCTTGGTGAATAAATTCTAGAACCTACTCCATTTATTATGCAGATGATCATATCGTTGTTGCTTGACCACCCTCAGTTCTGCATAGGTTAGTTCCTCTGTGTAGTGTTTAAATATATTGCTGTATTTTTATTTCATAGGAAGCAAGAACAGAATCTATTGCCAGACCTTTGGAGATAAATGAGGCTGAGAAGGTGATGAAAATTGCCATTGACTGTGTTCTGGTAAGCAAAATTATATTTATTTAATTGCAAAATTATCATTCCTCTCCTGCAAGAAGAACGTAGCTCTTTTTATCAATAGCCTGAGGTTAGGAGTGCCAAAGCACACATCGCCTTCAGCTGACTGGACCAAGCAGTGCTGTACCTGGTTAGCTAATGGCTAACCTTTAACTTTCATTAATGGCTAACGCAGACTCTGGTCTTTAGGTAACATCAGATGGGTGAACAGAAGTTCATCAAGGCAGAGATCAGCCTGCGATGACTCCTTGTGTTGTGGCAATGAATACGGCCACTGACGAGACTTACGGTTTATTTGGGAAATCTACTGTGTTCAGAATGAAGGAGAGCTTTCCTGGCAGAGTCAATGAGGTGTGGGCATGGTGGTGACTGTGAGCGGGCAGGCAGGAATCGGAGCCTGCAGCAGAAAGGGTGAGCGATGTTAGCAGCAGCGCCTAGCAGAACACAGCAAGATCCACTCTGCTGTCAGGCTGTTGCACTGGATAACTGTGTTGGTTCAAGATGCAGAAATATGCCAACGGCATTCTGGGGCGCATCAAGAGGAGTGTGGACAGCAGGGTGAGGAAGGTTATCCTCCCCCTCTGCTCTGCCCTAGTGAGACCACATCTGAAGCACTGCGTCCAGTTCTGGGCTCCCCAGTTCAAGAAGGATGAGAAACTACTGGAGAGAGTCCAGAGGAAGGCAACAAAGTTGATGAGGGGACTGGAGCATCTCTCCTACGAGGAAAGGCTGAGGGAGCTGGGCTTGTTTAGCCTGAAGAAGAGAAGGCTGAGAGGGGATCTCATGAACATGTACAAATATCTCGAGCGTGGGTGTCACGAGGATGGAGCCAGACTCTTCCCAGTGGTGCCCAGTGCCAGGACAAGGGGCCATGGGCACAAACTGAAGCCTAAGAGGTTTCAGTTGAACATGAGAAAGAACTTCTTGACTTGGAGGGTGCCTGAGCCCTGGCCCAGGCTGCCCAGGGGGGCTGTGGAGTCTCCTTCTCTGGAGATATTCAACCCCTGCCTGGACGCTGTCCTGTGCCCCCTGCTCTGGGTGAGCCTGCTTGAGCAGGGGGGTTGGGCTGAGTGATCTCCGGAGGTCCCTTCCAACCCCTGCCATTCTGGGATTCTGTGAAACATTCCTCCAGTTGATGCATCAAAGAACAGCAGTCGGCCTCCCTCTCTCTTTGGAGAAAACGCATTTTAATCCTGTTCCCTGCCTCTGTTAGGAGCTCAGTAGTAGCCCCAGAAGCTCTACAGGAAGGATAAAAATTGCCTAAATCAGCACAGAAATCTACATCCCACCTACACTGCCTAACCTGTGTAAACTTTGCAGAGTCAGGACTGCAAGGGCTGTACTTGGTAATTCAAAATATGCTGGTATCTCAAGAGTTGTGAAGTTGGGCTCTGGAAGCAGGATGGCTGAACTGGCCACGGGGTGAGAAGAACTGGCACTGTGCTAATTTCGTGCCATGCTGGTGCGTCATTGTGGGCTTGTTTCAGAGGGCATTTTGTCTGTCCCAGTCTTGGCAACACCAACCTCGCTCCAGCGCTTGGGTTCCTGTGTTTCTGAACCATTAGTTGCACTCACAGCCCCTGTGTGAGTATGGTAGTTAATTAAATCTTAGTGATTACTATAAGTTATTTAACTGCAAACATACAATCCAACTGTATAATTACAAGGAGTGGAGTTTGAGATTTAAACAGCCAATGCATAATCAATAGATGTTCTGGGCGATCGTTCCTTATGTTTCTGCTCCTCCTCACAGTCTATATGAATCCTGAATGTTGTTAATATGCGTTGCTGTTCTAGGCAGCAGTGCTAATAAACTAACAGCAGCATAGCAGAGCAATTGGCTTCTTGGGAAATATCAATAACACGTAGCTCAGCTGGTTTAGTTCTGGGCCGGTTAATGAAGTGACCTGTTACAGCTGAGCAGCACCTAAAGGTCATGGCTGGAATTTCAGCAAGTGTGAAGTCCTTCTTCTCTCTCTGAAGGTGCTCATGGTTTCCTGAGCACAAGCACACTGAATGTACTCAGCTCATTTTAATAAGCTGGGATATTCCCACTTCCCCCTCCTGATTCCTGTAGCCCGTGTTGTAATGTTTGGGATGCTGCCCAGATTCTGAAACAGCAAGACTTAGAGAAGGATGAAGATACTGGGAGAGAGCAAGTTCTTTATAGCAGTGACTGCTATCTTGAAGGAAAAAACAAATTGATGGAAGCCTAAAAATTCTCTAAAATAATACTGAGAAATAAATGAATTTCTCACCTGTGTTTATTCAGATACTTACACATCGAGAGATGTCTTTATGTATCCCATCAGGTATTTCTGAGGAGGCTTCTTTTCTTCCTATCTTCTACTGCTTTTTCAGTGAGAAGGAAAAATAAAGCCCAAGGCAAGTTGTGGAGTTGTTTTTTCTTCTTTAAGAATGTCTGGGAAAAAAATCAGTTATTTTAAATTTGTAAATGTCCAGTTAGTTTGTTGCCCTGGCCACAAAGAACTTCTTAATTTTCATTGCCTGGCAAGTTTATGTTCTAGCTTGTTGTTATAAAGTTATTTGATAACCTGAGATGTGAAATTATGCAGAAGAATGGTCGGCAGCTGAAAGATAATCTTAGCTGTGGTTCACCATCCTTCTCTTTTAGGAACAAGTCCAAAAGACTAAAGACATGTTGAATAATGTGGCTTTGGATGAAGCCAATTTGGAAGCCAAGATTGAAAAAAGAAAATTGGAACTGGAAAGAAGCCAGAAGAGGCTACAGACTCTGCAAAGCGTTCGGTAAAGATTATGAACTGATTATCTACTGCATAAATGAGCGTTAGCGTGAGTGATGGAACTGTGCCTTGTTAATGCATAGCGCAGTGAGGAGCGAAGCCTGTACTGAGACTGAGCTGGTGGAAGACACAGATTCTCTTTTCTAGAAATGCCCAGTCTGGTTTGTAATGGTTCACTTTTCCGTTACTGTGTATTTGAAATCAGAATTTCAGGGCTGTTAAAAGTGGCCAGAATATGATTTGGTGGGGTTGCTGCATTGCTGCCTGTGCTGTACAAAGTGGTCAGGCAGCACGTCTTTCCTTTTCCTTTCCCGTTAAACGCAGATGGCGTCGGGTAGTTCTGAAAATGGCAACGGGTGCAAACGTTCCCTCTGTTCCCAGAGGCTTCTGGCATTTTCCTCCCCACCACCCACCCCCCCCCATGAAAAAAGTTCATTATGCATCCCTTGTTAGGATCGGTTTGTCTAGACAGTGACACAGCCTAGATATTCCGATTTGCAGTTTGGGTTGATTTCTTGCCCTTAATTAAACTGCAGGTTTATACAGTCTACAAGATCATGCTCTATTTTTTGACCTCATTCATATTAAAAGAAAAAAAAAAGGAAATATTAGAAAAGTGAGTGAAGGAATGATATTGTTTCATGTACATGTTTTGATCAGTAACGTTCCGGAGGAAGCATAGCGGGTAGACGTGAAGCTTCAGATGGCAGTAGTGTTCTTTGGGGCGCAACAGTTGGCCCTGCTGTAAGGGCACGGTCAGCTATCGGTGTCAAGTCTGGTTATGCTCGTAACAACACAGCACGGTTTTGTAGCAAATGAGTCTCCAGCAAAGTAGGTGATTTACCAGCAGTGCTGCGAGCTAGCTTTTTGGAGCCATGGACCAGCAGGATAATTAACAGATTTGTCTGCCAGAGGGGCCAAAATGCTGCCTATCTGCCTGTTTGGAAGGGAATGGTAGTGGGTACACAAAACCCTGTCCTTTGCTATAGATAACTTTTTCAGGATAGGTCTGTGAGGTTTTTTATCTTAGGCTTTTAGTCTTGGAAATAGCGTGGAACCTTAAAACCACAGGGTCCTTTTAGTTTGGTTTAGTAGACATGGAAAAGTAGCTGCAAACCCCAAAATGCTTACTTCAGAATTCTGCATGTACAGGTCGATATTTTGCTGAGTAGTTTGTGGTTGTTCTCTCCAGTCCAGCTTTTATGGATGAGTATGAGAAGATCGAGGAGCAACTGCAGAAGCAATACAGTAGCTATCTAGAAAAATTCCGTAATCTGACCTACATGGAGCAGCTCCTGGATGATCATCGACGGACAGAGCAAGAGATGTTTGAGGTAAGACAGCTGAGAAATGCTCGGCAAGACTGTCTGTCCTGTGGTTCTTGGCTTTGTAACAGAAAATGTTTTAATACCCCTTTGTCAAAGCAGCTCATGACTGGTTGGAGAGCCAGCTCTGAGCGACTGGCAGTTTATTGACAATCCAGTAAGCGTGACTGCTCTTGGACAAGCTTTATTTTTTGAGGTAGTGAAGTTAAACCAATGTAGTGATGCCCCTTTCCAGTCTCTGACTCCCCCGACTCGTTTTCAGTTGATGTTTTCTGTTCAGGAAGAATGTTTTCAGCATTTCTAATCTTCCTTTTGCTACATACAATATATGTGCAAAGAGTTATTAGGCGCTTGTTTTTATCGTCTGCCAACAACTGATGTATAAGGGTTTCTCAGCACAAGGCTCTTCAATTTCCTCGCAGTAGTCCTCTTCAATGAAAACAGCAAAGAGTGTCAGTGAAATGATCAGATATGCTGGAATCCTCTCGCACGTAGACTTCAGTTTTGTTTGGCCGAAATTCTGTTTTCTGTTGACTGGCTGAATTGTATCAGTTCAGTGCAATTCTCTTATTTTGTATCTGCTGGTTAACCTGCATCTGTATCTCGTCTTGCTCCATACTTCGGGTGTTGATTGGACTGCAGCGCTTTCAGCCACCCTTTCATTCAGCTTCCTGTAGCTTCATGGGTTACTTGTTTGGCTTTTCGTCCTTCTCACAGTCGTTACCCAGTGTATCTTCTGTTCTTCACTGAGTTTTCAGTGAATGACCTGCCCTTGGATCGTAATACTGTGTGGGTGTGCTATACCGTGAGTTAACCAGTGCTTCCTCTCTCTGGATCATCCTCTTCCGTATGGAGCTCGTGTTTTATTTTGTCAACACAACTTACTCTTGTCCCTGGCAGACATATGGGAGAGCTCTGCATAATGTTCCTTCTATCCAGCTGTGACTGCATGCTTTGCTTTTGCCCTGTCTGTGTGTGTCTACTGATGTCAAAACAAAGTAGTTTGACCCCGAGATTTTTAGCCTTTTCCTCTAAAGTATTCATACGTGTGTTTAGTTACAGTAAAATTTTGTGACCCGCGCTTAGGCTGCAAATAAGGCTCAGTAACTTTATAGTCCCATTTCTCCTGTAGTCTCTCTCTCTTGCATCTGTGAGATCTTTTTAGAAAGCCTTGGCATTCCGTAGAACTGATTGTGCCGAGAAGCCTCCCCTTTGACGATCACCTGCACTCTGTCCCTGCGTGCCTAAGCCGCGCCGTGCGATTTATCACCAGGCTTCAGGCTGTTCTGCAGGCTGGAGAAAATACCATCATTTCCATCCCCCTCTAAGCATAGGAGAAGGTGTGCTGTATTCTGTTGAGAGGGTGCAAATGTTTTGCTGCATTATTTGCTTGAGGTATAAAATAACCTGTCTTTTAAAAGATAACGTGGGCATTTGACAACTTGTTAATCATCGCGAACCAATTTCCCATTAACGTCCCTTTTTATAAGCCCCATCTCTATAGACGTTATTTCACATGTTTCTAATCTGTAGTCAGCTTGCTATTTTCATGTGTCTTGTTTTATAATGCCCTAGTTCTTCCCCATATCTTTGGCCAAAAAAAAAGTCCTCAATTAAATCATAGCCTTGAAAAGAAGCCTAACATCTGATTTTTCCCTTCTGTTCAAATACCATTGAGACTTAATACCAAAAGTGGAAATGTTTTGAACTGAGCTACCTGCAACTGTTTATAAATTTATGCACAGAAGTTAGTAATGAGTTAGCGTACAGCTCTTCGGGGGAGATTTTTGTTAAAAGATAGTAAGATGAAGAAAAAGCCTTTGGCATTCAGGGCTGTGCCCGTGCTTAGAATATGGAGAGTGATTTTTATTTTCCTTTTTCTCTTTTTTTCCGTGAGACACCTGGATATCTACCCATATGGTTTGGCTTTTCATTTACCAGGACAAGCAGGGAACAACACTTTAGAATTGTGCAGAATGAGGGAGTACAAAAGCCTGTGACAAAAAGATGGGGTTTTTCTCTGCACGCTTCTATCCTGTGTCATATGCAGTAAGCATTAGTAGGCATCGGAACTGGAAACATCTTCAAGATGTGTTTTATGCTAAAAGCAAAATGCCATCGGGTCTTCTGCATTAGGAATGGGTTCTGGCCATGGCTGGTGGTCTTGTACTTGGGTGTCTAACTATGACCTCAAGTGATTGAGTTACTTGTGCTGAACACTGTACCTGTTAAATACATTGTGTTAGCTTAAACCAGCATGAAGTCTGCCTGTCGAGTCTAGTTCTAGAGCTTGAGCTCAACCCTGACAGTACCCTGAGACCCTTACATTTCAATTCCTGTGGTTTAGTCTGTTAAATCTTTTCACTAGGGCGTGTTTGGGAAGACCAAAAATAAAAAGGGTGGAAAAAAGTACATTTGACAGTTGTTCTTCAGAGCTGGTGAGAGGAGCATGGGGATCAAGAACAGAAAATTGGAGTTTCTTAAAAATACTTAGACTATTTAACGGATGAGACTCCAGCCATCCCTTTGTGGGCAGCAATAGAGTGACTCAAGTAGCTGGGGCTGCTTTGTGGTAGAAGCTGTTGCTTTGGTAGAAGAGGAGGGTATGTGTGTCTCTCACAGCCACATTTTCAGGAGTGCTGGAGTCCAAGCTATTATTTGAAGTCACTATGAGAAGTCAGTGCTCAAAATCAGGCTCTAGGACTTGGCAACTGATAGAGGATGAAGAATCTGGGTCCCAATTAAACCAAGGGACTTGCTGGTACACTCCTAGTTCCAAACCAGTGTGGGGACTTCTTTTTTTTTTTTTTTTTTTTTTTTTTTTAAAGATGGCAGACTGTTTAATCCATGTTGGATTAGTCTCTTGCCAACCTGGAACACCAGGGTATTTCTTTCACTCCTTCTGGCAGTCTTGATCTGCTTTTCAGGTGGTGCTTCATCGCCTTTGGCTACTTGTTGGTGAAGCCAAACTGTGGGTCGTTTATAACATGCTTGGAAAAAAGCAGTTTGCTCCAAAACGATGCTGCACATTGTCCTAAAGTTTATCATCCTGTGTCATTTTCAGATCAACAGACAAAATAGTAACAAGGATAATTACATTTAATCCATTTTAATACACACTCTCTCCAACTGTCAAAAAACACTGAAAATTATGTTGATTTTTTCAACCCTCATTTGTCTTCTGTTCCACCAAACAAATCTTAATTATCTTCTGTAGTAGAAGTGAGAGTCAATTCTTTTATCGTCGCTGTGTATTCTGCTAAATAGCTTGCCAGAAGAAAAAGCAACGGCATTGTAATTACATTAATCTAGCACTCCGTGTGCTGTTCAGTACTCAGGACCGATTCCTGGACCCCTTTCCATTTTTTTTTTAGGAGGAATTTTTGTTCTGATTGAGAGACCGTTGCTGAATAACGAGACTAATCTCTAGTGCACTTAGACTCAAAGCTGTTTTGGTACCCTGCTGATGTTGCACAGCTAATGACCTGGGCCAGAGGGCACTTCCTAATTAGAAAAGTGATTTAAAGATTGTACCCAAGCATGCAGTTTTAATTAAGTGACACTGAGCTGTCGAAGCACTCCAGCCTGTCCAGGGCTGGTCGTTTGTGTGGGTATTTTTGGTTTGTTCTTCCATGCGGTAGGTGTACAGCTGCATGCAGAGGAGCGCTCTGTGGCTGCTGCTGTTGTCTTAAAACTACCTGTTCCTTTTGCCTCCCGGTGTCCGTCACCATACGGAGCGGTGGTTGGGGAGCAACCAGCAGGATCCTGCCGGGCACTGGACTGAGAAATCTCTCTGTGTGTTAAAAGGAACTTAAAGGGTCGGTGCTGAGACTGAACCGAACGAATTGCCAGGACTGAACAGTTAATTGATGATGACATTACCACCCGCAGCACACCTGCCTGTTTGATGTGGAAGTGCTTTGAAATGCAGGAAAAATAGGAAATTCTTTGCCTGTTATCCACTCTCATTTGTGGAGACGTCGGGAGTCCTCACACAACTCTTCCTTTGAGTGAGCTTCTCACACTTATTGACAAACTGTCACGTGCTGCTTATTTAAATTCCTCGGATCCAATAATACAGGTCTTTTGTCTTTGCAGTTTCCGTAGCTTTTTCTCAGTCTCAGCCATCTCTTTTATTCTGTTTCTATTCTCTTGTGCTGCTCGTGGAATTAATCCATCTTCTTGCATTTCTCGGCAGAAGCAGGGATTTATGTGCCATGTCTCCTCAAAGATTTGCTCTTATTTTTCTACTCTGGAAAACGATTCAGCACACTTCATTAATTTTTATCCTGTTTTTAAGATTAAATTGTTTCTGATGGTTAGACATGAGAGCTATTAGAACTTTGGCTGCTCTAAAAATCAGTTTCAGGGGTTTTCAGATTTAGGGGCTGAAATTTTCTATGGCTTATAAATGAATGCCTCTCTTTTAAAGGACAACACAGACTAATCCACTTCAAAAAGGGGTTTTTGAAACGAGCTTGTGTAATGCCAGAATAACTTGGCAATATCCTCTAGCATTTGCCTTTTCTCTAGACGGAAAGAATATGCTTATTCTTTCTTGCACTGCTCGGACGACATCCCTGAAGTATTTTCTTCTTCAGCTGCTTTCTTCTAAGGTATTTTAAGGCTGCTTTTATGTTGGTGCTGTGAAATCTCAACCAAGGAATGCCATGAAGCGGTGGACACGTGGAAGAGGGTGCTCTAAGCCACTCAGTCGTTATCTTTGGTTTGGGATTGCTTAAACCATTTTTCTTTTCATCATTATATTAGTGTCAGTAAGCAGTCCATCATGATTAAGCAAGGAAAAAGCTAAATAAACAGACTCTGTTGTCACTTTCCCTTTACAACCCACCCTCCACAAATAAAATCCCCTCTTCGCTAGCTGATTTTTTTATCAGAGCTCCGTACCTGAAGCAGATGCTTTATTATGAACATGTACGTAATAGGGATATCTGAGTTCTGCTGCACTCCGAGATGCTCCTCAGTTCTGCTGCTTTTCATGTCTTTTT